AACGGCAGGTGGTAGTTACAGGGAACGTCGTTCCACTGGCCGCTCTCGTGCCAGATCATCACCACACAGTCTTCTCCAGGGTCGGAGTAATTATCTGGCTGGTTTGACTTCCAGTTCTCAAATTGCTGCAGAGAAACACACACACACACACACACACAGAAACACACACACACACACAGGTGAGAACATGATTTAAACTGGTTCTTCTCGTTACTGGAACCTGATCAAAGCCTTGAGGACGGAACCTGTTTGAACTTGAAGACGACACGTTGCACAAAGTAAAGGCTCGGTGACTCACCAGTGGAGTACCGTCTGTCCAGCGGAAGTCGTTTTCTACCGTCTTGTCATTCAGGCCGATCCACTGATAGTCCTGAGCGTTTGCTGCCACAGAAAACATTATTGGGACTTTTTCTTCCTCCTGTCTCTGTCATCACTCCGAACACTTTAACAACTCACAGTTGACAAAGTCCTGCTCCTCTGGCGTGACGATGCTGACCAGGTGGGCGTTCAGGTCCCGGCAGCGATGCTCTGCGTCCAGCCACGTCTCTCTGTCAGAGAGGTGCAGGTAGCAGTTCCCCTGAAACTTAGTCCAACCGGCTTCACACTGCTGCTCATCTGCAGCGCCACAGCGGGGAGGGAACAGTGTGACACAGGTTCATGTATGTTCACCAACATGTGATTCTTTGTCATGGAGACATTATTCCTCGTCCACACGTTACAAATGGGTTTTACGAGTTTGATATTGTTCACAGCCCAGGAAGTGTTTCAGTTTCACACACACACACACACATCTTACCCACTTATGCATTTTTATAATGTTCCTTTGGTGAAACATTCTACGGCTTCATTCATTCTCCTGCTTTACTCTGATGATGGGATTTCAAAGCACCAGTTTATCTATATTACACAAAAACATATTTTTCCACTTCCACTCCTCAATCCAATATTTTGTGTCTTCATGTGTGAAACACTTAGTGACGACACTCTCACGACTGAAAACAGCTTAACGAGCGTCGATGTGATCATCTACAGATCTTCACATGTTGGAAACCGAGTCAGACCAGCTCCTGAGTTTGTTCTGACCGGGTCACGTTGGCTCTCGTTTTACCATCGTGATAAAATACCCAGTGTCCTCCCTGATCTCTGATCATTATCACTTACACTTGTGTTCTTTGTTATGGGTCACAAAATATTGCTCTTCCGTGCACATTACTCCAAACTCGACGGACCTACAACCACCGAGCATGAGAAGCTGTGACAACCTGCAGAACAGAGCGGTTTAAAGGCTGAACTCTGCACTCAGCTGCTCACAGGTTTGAGTGAAATATGTTTTTGTGTGATTCAGGTGAACTGATCCCTTAGTTACTTTTGCTCTGTTCCAGTGGTAGAGCGGAAACACCACAGTTACACCTCGTACGTCTTCACGGTTCCTCATGAGCCACAGTGATGCTACCTGAAGTTTAGCATCTGTCCAGTTGCTTTTGACAGTTGTTAGTATTGATTAGCTGAAGCTGATCTCATACCGATCTCACAGCGTTTCCCTCCGTAGCTCGGCAGGCACAAGCATTTGTAAGAGTCTGAACTCTCCACACACGTCGCTCCATTGGCACAAGGGTCGGAATCACACACGTCTACCTCTGCAAAAGAGGGGGCGGGTCAAACCACTGTTTGAGCATGGGGGGAGGAGGATGAGAGGATGAGTGGAGGGGAGGATATAAGGTGAGAAGGTTAGAAGGTGAAAAGGGGGGGATGGGAGGATATAAGGGGAGAAGGGGAGGATGGGAGGATGTAAGGGGAGAAGGGGAGAAGGGGAGGATGGGAGGATGAGAGGATATAAGGGGAGAAGGGGAGGAT